AAAACAAAACGAAAACAGCGCCCTTACAACACCAACTCTCCTGGATCACGTCTTCCTGCAGATAACATTCTCTTCGTCTACTTATGTTTCACTCAAATGCATTTGAAGACTCACCGTTTCATCAGCTTCCTTCGGACTGCTTTCTTAACCCACTGTCATGTGCCCTTGGTCCCTAGCCCACACCTCCCTGCTTTTTCACCTCGCTGAAATCCTAGTGGACACATGCTGTGAGCACCTTGTCATCTTAATTCCACTGCATGGAGTGCATTTATTTGATTCAGAGTTGTCTTGAAATTCTTCCCTATTGTACTGGCTCCTATGACGACTGGCTCCCTGTTCTTCCATCTCACTGGCCTCAGCCCGCCCTTTCAATAAATGGGGGCATTGGCTCTATATTAGACTGAGCCGTTCTCTGAATAGCTGTACCCACATCAGTATGATGCTCAATCTCAAATGCTGTCTCTCCAGCCCAGGCTCACGTGCCCGGTATCCTTTGTGATGCCCACATTCCCCACAATTCAAATTTATCCTTTCCGGAGCTAAGCTCAATAGAAGGGAGATAATGTAACATAATGGTTAAAAATCCCAAATTCTAGAATTAGAATGATTTCAAGCCCTAGTTGGCCACTCTTCTACTATATGACCTTGGGAAAATCATGTACATTTTTCAGAGCCTCTGTATATGTTTATAGAAAATGGGAATCATAGTAGTACTGACTTCCTAAAGTTGTTGCATGCATGTAGTAAGATTGTTCATGTGACTTGGTCCAGCACATAGAAAGCACTCAATGACGTAAGCCATGGCTACATTATTCTCAGCCTCGTAGTGATCAAAATTACTACCTGTGATAGTCTGGGTACTTTAAAGAACCAAATCCACAGAAACTCATATGTATAAGAGAGAGGTTTATATAAAGGGGAAGTGCACATCAAGAAAACATCCCAAGTGCTGCCCAAGCCCACCAGTCCAACATTAACCCATATGTCTGACACCAATCCACAAAGTCCTCCTGCATCTCACAAAACACACGCAATGATGCCGACTGCAGGAGGAAAGGCGAGTCAGTGGATATGTAAGCATCTCAGTGCTGGCAGGGGTCTCCACATGGCTGCCAGGGTAGGTCCATGTGGCTTCTCGTCAGGGATGTCTGGCAGAAAGTGAGCCTTGCCAGCTGAAGCAGGGAACTGCTAAGGCAGCTGCACCCTGGTCCACCATCACAAAGCAAGAGACCTGAGAACTTGGAAGGCAAGGCTCACCGAGCCATTTATCCTTCTACCCTTCAATTAACCCCACATGTGTTTATCGGCCAGGTTGGCACAATAAACTACCTCACTACCATGTAGGTCACCTGCTGCCCCAGTACTGGTGAGGTAGTAGCAGGCAGCCTGGCTTCATGGAAATAGAACTAATGTGCATTTCAAGAGACCAGAGTTTAATGAACTAGCTACTGCTTGAACTCTGAAGCTCCTGCCAATTCTAAACACCATGCTAAGGTTTTCAGAGATAAGTTCAACACATGATAATGACTATAGGTTTTATCCTAAAGGCAATAGGGGTTTGTGTTAGACAGGGTTCTCTAGAGAAACAAAACCAGAATGCTAATAATTTTATATATACTTATACAGATAGATAGCTATATAACATAAGAAATAAACAGTTAATTAAATTATAAAGCAGTATAGATGGCTAAGTTCAACTCACTCCTGTGAGACAGTTGTTAGACACTGGAAGTCCTTAAGTCTTGAGGGCTGCTGGGTAGTCCTCTGTTGAGCAATTCAGACTATCTGTGCACAAGCAGCAAACAGCAAGGCAGGTCACCAACAGTCAGCCAGATGACAGGGTCCGACAGTCCCCAGCTCAAGAGATGTAAATTCCAATGGTGTGGTGAAGCAGGTCTTGAAGGAACCTCAAATTACAGTGACACAGTCCAC